GGTTCTTCTTGGTCTTTTTGAGGAATTGCTTGAGGCTGCCGGACGACACGTACTCTGTGATGAAGATGACCTGCAAGGGGACGCCGGGTCTCGGACTCAGCCAACTTCGTGGGTGCCCACGCGGCCTGCTGGCTCGGCCTGACCCGCCCCTGGGCCTCGGCTCCCCGGGCTCACCCGCGCGCGGGCCTCGGACGCATCCAGCCAGTACTTGTGTAGCTTGACGATGTTGGGGTGGTCCACCAGCACCAGCTGCTCAAACATGGTCTGGATCTTCTCCTGGGATGGGGGGCGCGCTGTCAGGAGGCCGGCCGCCGGTGGGGGGCTGGGGCCAGGGGCTGGGCCTGGTGGTGGCCTCACCTCATGGGCGGCAAAGGCCTTCCTGTCACTGAACTGGAGCTCGTTCCACACCACCTCCACCCCTTCCTCGGTGTCCATGGCCAGGAATGTGCTTTGCAGTCCCGGCATGTTGCCCTGGTTCACCTGGAGACGGGGGGAACTAGGTTGGTGGCTTGGCGCCTGTCCATAGTGAGTGAGGTTCAGGGCCAGACGATTCTGAAGGGTGAGGGACCTGGAGGGGGCCTGGTCCCCAGGGCCCCCGGCACTGTCCAGGGTATGGGCTGATGGGGTTCGGAGTCAGTCGCAGGGAGTCGAGGGGTGGTTTCTAGGGCGACATGCGCTCATCTCAGCGGCAGGTCGCACAGGCATCAGGAGGTGGCCCCAAGAGGCTGGTCCTCAGGGCATCGCGTTCTTCACGCGGACGTGGGGGCCAAGCCAAAGGGGACCGGGGGCCGGCCCAGACCGGGCTGCCCGAGAGCTTTAGGCCGCCCAGCTCCCCCTGCGCGGCCCCAAGCCCACCGCCCACCCCTCGGAGCGGGGCGCCCACCTGCTCCCGCCGCTTCTGCCAGCGCCCGCACGGGCTCTCCTCCAGGATGTCGGCTTCGTCCTCGCTCTCGTCCTCCCGATCGCGGTCCCGTTCGCGGCCCCGCCTCGGCGCCGGCTCCGGGGCCGCCATGGCTCGGCGGGCCAGGCCACCGCCCTGCGCGCGTCCG